TATATATATATATATATATATATATATATATACTATATTAAAAATTCTTGTAATGTTTACTAAAAGCTTACCAAAGTTAATAAAGATACACTTAATAAATTCAAAGTTCTAGTATGTATAGTTTCAAAAACATTTGGGATCAGGCAAATGGGCCAAGTCAAGAGGAAAGGGTTAACTTTGGGTAACAGCAGACTCAGATTTTTGAGGGAGTTAGTTGTACTTAACTTATAGTTCAAGCTTTTGGATTATATAAATTTTAGCTTAATTTGTCAGTTTTTTCTTTTTTCATCTAACTTTACTTTTAGTGTAGCTTACAAAAAGCAGCACACTAGATTGGTAAGAGAGACTATTAAAGATTTCATCATTCTTCTCTTATCAGTTCAACACATCTACAATAAAAACTTGCCTTTGTGTTGTTGTTTTTTGTGTGTGTGTAAACAAAGATTGTTGAATTGTAGATTTGTGTACAGTTTCATTCTGTGCAATAAACTAGGTAAGACGTCAGACAGAAACACAGAACACATTCCATGACTTGATATTCTTGAATCTACACTTAGCAGTTCCTAACAAACTACTTTGAAGGAAATATGTGAGCCGGAAAATACCACAGAGAAGAATGGAAAGTAAAATCTTGGTGCAATGACAAAAGAATATCATTGTTGTAGAGTTTTATGCCATCTCCAAGTGGATAAATGGCCAGACTCTTCCACATTCCAATGAGTACCCCTACTTCACAGCAACCCAGAAATGGCCCTTACTACAGGATATAGAGCATATAAGCTGGAAAAGGTTGAATCAGAAGCCAAGGCAGGGTGGCCTGCAAGTAGGGTGGCAAGATCTGGGGGGAACTCTCTTCTAGTTCTGGAACTTTTGTTGATGTAGTGAAGGTCTCTGGAAGCCATCATGCTGTAACCACAAGCTGGAGAAGAGGAATAAACACTGTCTGGTGCACCTCAAAAGACTTACAAAGTTCTCTCCCTGAGGCTAAGCCTCAGAATAAATGGACCACAAATGACTGAGAATCATTAGGGTAGTAGGTAGGCAAAGTTGTCTATAGAACCCCTAAATGTTCACTAATCAGAAAGGTAGAACCCTGTTGCAGTTTGATGACACCCACAGGAGAGAGAGGAGAAGTGCTGTTAGCGGAAGAACTCCACCAACATGACCTGTTTCACAGATAAATCCTAAAAGCCATTTTTAAAGTTTATTAAATCCTGTACCAATCATATAAAAAGTGGTGAATATAAGCATCATGGTTTACAACTCTCCAGTGCCAGTTCAGCTTTCTCTGGCTCACTGTAAACCACCAGTGAAGTATTTGAGGTATCTTCCTAGTCAAAAGTTAGGTCAAGTGAGTTAACATTTTTGCTATAGGCATCTTTCTCTGTGCATGTCACAAGGTTTTAGTGAGATATATTCACAATTTAATTAAACTACTTTCTTATCACAGTAGAAAATAAATTTGGCATACAAACATGGCAATTAATCTAAGTGTTAAGTTCATAATTTTATATGGCAATATTAAAAAAGTCCTGAATTTATCCTGATATGAAAATTGTGACATTTTCTCTCTAGGCATCCCCTCTTCTCCAATTTATTTACCACCTCTTCAATAAGTATGAAATCTAATGTAAATTACTCATTATAATGTTGTCATCTCTCTGGCAAAGAATATTTTTTATAGCCTTCAACTTTATTTAGTTGCAGAGTCATCAAACAGAAAATTAGACCCTTCTTGCCACACCCACCTGTCACATGCTCTCTTTCAGAAGTTGTCACATTTAATACTGTATTTTATAA